TGAAAGCAGAAAAAGACCCAACCAAAAGAGAGAACTACAGATCAATCTCACTAATGAACATGTATATATACATGTATAGAATAGAATGCAAATAGAATGCAGAAGATTATCAAGAATACCACACACCCTGACCAAATGGGATTCATTCCAGGGATGCAGGGATGGCTCAATATATGCAAATCAATAAATGTAATACACTATATTAATAGAGTCAAGGAAAAAAACCATATGATAATATCAATAGATGCAGAAAAAGCATTCAACAAAATCCAACACACATTCATGACAAAAACCCTACAGAAAATTGAAATAGATGGTCTCTACCTCAATCTGATAAAAGCCATCTATGAAAAACCAACAGCTAATATCATACTAAATTGTCAAAAACTGAAATCCTTCACACTAAAATCAGGAACAAGACAAGGATGTCCACTATCACCACTCCTGTTCAATTTAGTTTTGTAAACATTAGCAACAGCAATTGGACAAGAGAAAGAAAAGGAATAAAGATAGGAAATGAAGAAGTCAAAGTGTCATTATTTGCAGATGATGTGACACTCTATATAGAAGACCCCAAGAACTCCACCAAGTCTTCTAGACTTAATATCCAAATTCAGTAAAGTAGCTGGGCACAAGGTCAACACACAAAAATCAATAGCTTTCCTGTACACGGACAAGAGACTCACTGAGAGAGAAATGGGGCAAACGATTCCTTTAACAACAGCATACCAAAAATTGAAATACTGTGCTCACTTCGGCAGCACATATACCAAAAAATTGAAATACCTAGTAATCAAAAGAAATCAAAGACCTCTACTCTAAAAACTATAGCACTCTGACAAAAGAGATGGAAGAGGATATCAGAAAATGGAAAGACATATCTTGCTCTTGGGTAGGAAGAATCAACATAGTGAAAATGGCCATACTTCCAAATATGCTGTATGGATTCAATGCAATTGCAATTAAAATTCCAGCACATATTTCACAGACCTTGAGAAAACAATCCAAAAATTCATTTGGAACAAGAAGAGATCTAGAATAGCAAAAGCAGTTCTAGGCAATAAAGACAAGGTAGGGGGTATCACAATCCCCAACTTGAAATTATGCTACAAAACTACTGTGATAAAAACAGCATGGTGCTGGGCATTTAGCTCAGTGGTTCTGCTGCCTGCCTCACAAGCACAAGGACCCAAGTTCGATCCCCGGTAAAAAACAAAACAAAACAAAACAAAAAACACAAACCAACGTGGTAAAGGCAAAGAAACAGACCTGAGGACCAGTGGAACAGATTAGAAGATGCAGAAACAATTCCAGACATACTCAGCCACCTCATCTTTGACAATGGAGCCAAACACCCTAACTGGTGGAAAGACAGCCTCTTTAATAAATGGTGCTGCAAAAACTGGGTTTCAACTTGCCAGAGATTAAAACTAGACCTATGTATCTCTCACCATGCATTAAACTAAAATTGAAATGGATTAAAGATCTAAATATTAAAACAGAAACACTAAACCAGCTGGAAGAGAGGTTAGGTAGAACTCTGTTCTTTTGTTTGGTACCAGGGATCAAACTCCAGTCCTTGTGCTTGTGAGGCAGGTGGTAAACCACTGAGCTAAATCCCTGGCCCAGTTAGAACTCTTGAAGACACTGGTATAGGAAAAGATTTTTAACAAACCTTAGTTGCCCATGAACTAGCACAAACAATCAACAAGTGGGACCTCTTATTAAAAAGCTTTGCACAGCAAGAAATATGACCAAGAGGGTGAAGAGACACCCACAATTTGGGAAAATCTTTTCACCAGCTGTTCCTCAGACAAAGGTCTACTATCTAGAATACATAAAGAACTTAAAAAAATCAGATTGCCTAAATTTAAAGATCCAATCCAAAAATGGGCATCTGAAATGAACAGATATTTCTCAAGTCAAAGAAGTAGAAATAGCAAATAAACATATGAAAAAATGTTCAACATCACTGGTCATTCAAGAGATGCTAATGAAAACAACACTGAGATTCTACCTCACCCCAGAAAGAATGGCTGCTATTATGAAATCAACCAATAACAAACGCTGGCAGGGCTGTGAGGAAAGAGGAACTCTGCTACACTGCTGGTGGGAGTGTAGACTGGTGCAACCACTATGGAAAGCAGTATGGAGATACCTCAAAGAACTAGGATTGAAAGTCCATTTAACTTAGCTATTAAAAGAATCATACCACAGTGATATATGTGCATCCATGTTCACAGCAGCACAATTTGTAATAGCTAAAACTTGTAAGCAGCTCAACTGCCCATTAAATGGAGACTGGATAAAGAAAATGGTTTTTAAAATTAAAATGGAGTACTACTCAGCCATAAAAAATGAGAAATTAGAGTCAAGTATAGCTAAATGGATGCACATTGAGACGACATGCTTAAATGCATATGTGGAAAATATGCACATGTGGAAAATCAAATATCTCTAGTGTAAGAAACTGAAAGTGTTAATAAGGACTAAAAGATAGATAATGTGAAATAGGAAGAAAAGGGGCAAAGGGGAAGGGGAAATGGGAGGGATAGAGGAAAGGAAAGAAGGGAATGGAATTAATATGAGAAAATGAAACAATGGAAACAAAGTCTTTTGTACATAGGAAGGCAGGGAGGGGTTGAAGGGAGGACAGGGGAATGGGGAAAAAATAAGAACCAAGATGGATTATGTAAAGATGCAAATTTCCAATGATGAATGTCATTATATTGTATACCTTAAATGTACCAATAAAATTAATTTTTAAAACAATTCACTTCTCTCTGTACATAAAAGCATGTTTTCCTGAACAATTTGAAAATAACCTACAGACATCACAATACTTCGTCACAAAATACTTAAGCATGAATGTAAAAACAATGACATTCTTGCTCTTCACAATACCCTTTTCACTCCTATGACACTCATAAATAATTTCACAAGATTAATAAAATCTCCCCCAAACTATCTTTCTTTCCAACCCAGAATCCAATCAAGGCTCTCATACTGCATTTGACTAATTAGTTATAGATTAATTCATTGAGATGGGGGTCTCATTATGTTGCCCAGGCTGGCTTTAAGCATCTGAGCTCAAGCAAACCTCTGGCCTTGAGCTCCCCAACCAGCAGCTGGGACTGCTGGTGGGTACCACTGTGCCTGGCAGTATTTTTTTGTCTGTTAAATCTCTTGTAATCTAAAACAGCTCCTTGACTGTTTTAGTTCTTATTCATTAACTTTTTAAGTCCAGTCCAGTTATCTTGTAGAATGTCTCCCATTCTGGATTTCCTCATGATTGTAATTCAGCTTAAATATTTGGGGGCAAGGTGAGAGTCTATTTCATTAGCAGGCACTCTGTGTCACTACTAGTGATGTCTGATCAAGTTAAGATAGTGACCACCAGATTGCTTCATAGCAATGGTACATTTTTACCTATAAAATCTGTGAGAGGTGATACCATGTAAATAGCTGGTTCCTCCACACCCTTTTATTTAATCAATTGCCCAAATCAATGATTGCACCAAGAATGGCAAATATGATGACTTTCTAATTCTATTACATATTCCTCATTTATTAGCTGGCATTCTTCTGTAAGAAATCCCTCTGTCCATTTTTTACATTATTATTATGAAGTCATAGAATGCTATTGTTTTAAAAATAAATACAGTTGAGGCTAGGGATTTAGCTCAGTGGTGCCGCCACCTGCCTTACAAGAGCAAGGTCCTGAGTTTGATCTCTGGCACCAAAAATTTTTTTAAAAATTAAAATAAATAATAAATAAATAAATAAATATAGTTAAGCTACTGTCAGTGCTAAATGTGTGTTTCACAGATGCGTATTTCCTGCATATGGGAAAGCATATGTGTTTTTCACATAAAATAGACCTACAAACACCTTACTTATGTGATCATAGGATAGATCAAGAAAGATCCATTAAAAAAAGAATAGTGGTGGGCCAGGTATTTAGCTTAATGGTTCCACTGCCTGCTTGCAAGCACAAGGACCTGAGTTCGATCCCAGGTACCAAACAAACAAAACAAACAAAAGAATAGTGGTGCTATGGAGGAAGGAGAGAGGGACAAGGATAAGAGACTTATTTCTCACTATGTTCCTTTCTGTACATGTTAATTATTGTATCATTGTCCAATTTAATAACTATGCAATATATTTAAATTAGTAAATATGAATTATTTCTGTAAATATTTGTATAACAGGAATAAATTTTAAAGTTTCAGTGACACCCCAATTATACCAGTAAATCTCTAATTCAATAAAAGAAATCTGGATAGTCCTATTGAGGTTGAATTTTTTTTTTTGAGATGGTCTCACTATGTAGTTCATGCTGGCCTTGAATTCATTGTGATCCTCCTGCCAATGATAGGCATGAACTACCATGCCTGGCTGAGTTTGAAATTGTGGAATAATACTTATGTCAGCAGAGAAGTCAGCCTGAAAAGGACCAAACTACTCTCTCAACCTCTGACAAAAATGTTGAGTTAATGCTTACTGGTCAAGATCAGGGTTAACCCTGCAGAACTGAAGAGAAAAAGAAGCCAAAAATGGCTATTTCTGTAACTTTAGCTCCTGAAAGGCTCAGTTCTGCTGACAGTGCTGATGAGGGGTGCAAAGCACACAGATGGCTACACTCCCTGAGAAAATAAGGCTCTTTCTTTCTGCTCCCACTGAGCTCCTAGGCCATGGGGGTAAGACTTTGACACAGCAAGAGCCTCTGAAAGTGAGCACTACTTTTGTAGTCATTGTTTTTTGAGACAGAGTCTTGCCATGTAGCCTAGGCTGGCCTCAAACTCAAGGCAATCCTCCTGCCTCAGACTCCCAAGTGCTGAGATTATAGGTGTGTGCCACTATACCTGCAAAATAAAGACTTCCCAGACCAGGAATTGAACCTGGGCCACAGCACTGAGAATGCCAAATCCTAACCACTAATCCACTGGGGAGAATCTACTTTTCAAAATATTGACATTGAGGCTAAAAGATATTCTTACCTTCTGAATGCTTTCATCCACCAGTCCACCAAGGATGTAAACTCTGTTTAGATCAACATCTTCAAGAGCTAATGAAAAAAAATGAAAGCCATAGAGATCAAATCTGTTTTATAATTCCTAAATCCAAAGAAAGCAAAAGGAAATAAATATTAATAATAAAAGTTGACATTTAATCAGCAGAAAACAAGAAATAATAGACTTCCTCAATGAAACCAAAGTTTGTTCTCTGAAAAGATCGAAAATAGACAAACTGTTGGCATATCTAATCAAGAATAAAAGGGGGCCAGGAATTTAGCTCAGTGATTCTGCCATCTACCTTGTAAGAGCGAGGACCTGGGTTCGATCCCTGGTACCAAAAAACAAACAAACAAACAAGAATAAAAGGTAGTGGGCCCAAGTCACCATTCGATTCGGAAAGGAAACAAGATTAAAACTATAGAAAAAAAGTGAAATAATTAGAAGAGAATATTACAATCAACTCAATACTAATAAATTTGAGAGCTTGTTTGGAGGTTCTAGCAGGGGAGCGCAGCTACTCTATACCCTTGACCGAGGAAACGGTCCTCCTCTATCGGGGGTGGTCATCCTCTTCGACCGAGCGCGCAGCTTCGGGAGGGACGCACATGGAGCGGTGAGGGAGGAAGGGGACACCCGCCTAGCCAGCGAGATTAGCCGAATCAACCCTGGCAATCAATGGGGCGACAGATGTTGCAGCCAGATCGCCCTCACATCCTCAATACTAATAAATTTGAAAATTAAGTGAAAGGGACAATTTTGCAGAAAAAAATATATATTTATATATCTAATATTGACCCAAACGGGGCCAAGAGGAGAAGGTGACCAGGGAAACTGCATTGCAAAACAGCATACAAGGTCTAGCTGAGCATGGAAACCCTAAATCTGTGTAGCAGTGCACTCAGAAGGACACAGGCAAGCACTCATTAAAGTGTCTGCCTGAAGAATGTGTGTGGTTCACATTCACTCCCTCCCCTTCTTTGTACACTCCCCGAGTGGCTTTAACAAATTCTGCCACAGGGGATAATGAAACAAAGGCCAGGAACAAAGTGATACATAAAACAGGCAGCGATGTACTTACCATGTTCTGAGTCAGGAGTCAGATATACAAGGGTTTCCAGAGGAAATAAACTAAAGCAGTCTTCTTCCATTATGTCTAGCTACAAAATGCAGAGGACCAATGTAATAAGACTGACGTTAAAACACAGTTCACAATTCAACAAGTAGTTACTGGACATCTCATCAGGCCTGGCTCTAGGTGTATCAAAGTGTTGTATGTCTGATGGTTTCTTCTCAGAAAATGCTTGGTTAAGAAGGGAGAAACAGAAAGCCACAAACACTCAAAACTATAAAATGAGACAGACAGTGAATGGGGCTTTCACAGAGGTACAGGAAGTGTGTATCAGGACCACAGGTAAGAAAGTAACAATTCCAAGATAATCTGGTAAAGGGAATGCTGGATGGAGCTGGGTTTCTGGAAAGATCTGAGATTGACACATATAAAAGGAAAATTCAAAGTGGAGGGAATTGCCTAAGGGAAGCAGGAAGACAGGGAAGCAAAGGAACAACACAGCACTGGAAGTTGGTCTGCTTGGTTTCCATACAGAAATCATTAAAGAGAGGGCTGGGGATTTAGCTCAGTGGTTCCACCGCCCACCTCGCAAGCACAAGGACCAGAGTTCAATCCCCGGTACCAAAAAAAAAAAGTACAGAGATGTAAAATTGAAAATGGCTACACCACAGCTGCCTGTTAAGACAGTTAACTGCAACACAGGTGGCTGTATAGGACTGCACAGTGCACAGTTCACATTCATGGGTTCCATGGGCCTCTGTAGGGAAGGGCACAATTGCTCAGTCCCAGCTACACACACAAGGGCATTTTCAATGACATTTCTTAGAAAATGAATTGAATTCTACTTGTGTATCTATAATTACATTTATGAGATCCTAGGCAATGGCTGAGAAGTATCTTGAGTCCTTGCTACAACTCATCATGAATCCATACTACTAAAAGCATTCATTGTTTTCCTTCAAAAATTATGTTTTTTAATTTTGTACTACTAAGAACAAGAAAGGAGTCATGGAATTTTCCAAAAACATTATTGGAATACACAGTCTAGCACAAACTATGCAGGTTACAAAATATAGTCCTAGAGACTGGTAATATTAGTTCAACAATACTGTAGAAGAATGACAAAAAAATTTAGTGTAATAATGAGAGGTTATGAGGTTTTAGACTGCAATATTGAAAAGATAGACTTCAGACATATACAGATTATAGTAATCTCTCAGTACGCATGGGGGATTCTATTCTATTATACCCAAATCTACCTGTGCTCAAGTTCCTTATATAAAATGGCATAGTATTTCCATTTAAACTATGCACACCCTCCTCCATATTTTAAATAATTTCTACCATAGGTTACTATAATATCTAATACAATGTTAATGCTATATTATCTAGGGAATAAAAAGTCTGAACATGTTCAATATAGATGCAACTTTTTCCCAAATATTTTTTTAAAAATATGTGGATGTGTATGTAACCCACAGAATCAGAGGACAAGCTATACATGAAAAAAAAATTACCATTACCTCACAATCACTTTTTAAATGATTCAAATAATATACAAAAAGATTCTTACCAGGTAATTAGAAAATCCATCATTCATCCTCAAACATTCTTCATAGAGGAGACTATCAGTTGTGAATCCAGTGAGGCAGATCCAAAAGGGTTTGTCAGCTTTTTTGTTTGACCCATACAACCTTCGGATCTGCCCAGCCAGCCTACTCATCTCCTTCAAAGAAATAAGGACAACTCAGAGTTGAAACATACCAGATCACTCTAAATTCACTATCAACAAAGAGTTACACAGTAAATTTACTGAATGCTATTCTAGAAGAGCTCATGAACCAGGATGGCCCCTTTTGCTCCAGGAATGAGCAAATGCATGTGTTACACCCAATGACATTACAACTATAGATGACAGGTAAGATAGTGATACCGGCTCAGAAATAGTGAGTTAGTAGAAACTGAGAATTTTGCTCTTGCTGACCCTGCTGTTGCATATTTAGTATGATACATGTAATGGTCATTTTAGATTTTTTTTTTTTGTACCAGGGATTGAACTCTGGACCTTGTGCTTGTGAAGCAGGTGGTGGCACCACTGAGCTAAATCCCCAGCCCCTGGTTATTTTAGATTTGATCTAAAATTTTTCTATGTAATACCTACTACTTGTTATTAAAAAGGTTAGACCTGCTCTGTTTCCAACCTGGGCTGGTTCACCCCTCCTTGGGCAATCTAGTGGTCCCCCAGGCAACCAGGAGGTCCCCCTTGGGCAACCACATTGCCACCAAACTTAGTAGGGTCACCTGATTGACCTAGTTAACAGAAGCCTGAAACTCTTGGACTAAAGTGACCCTTTTACCTCAGCCTCCTGAGTAGCTTGAGACAATAGGTGCACACCAGAGGCTAGATTATTGTATCAAAATTTCATGTTCTATCAAATATGTCTGCCACCTTCACCCTAACTTTAAGAGGCCATAGGAATGAAGTTTTAATTTCAACCCTGATTCTAGAAAGGCCATTTCACAATCTAGCCTGAAGGAGAGGAAAAAAAAAAAAGGCTTCAAGTTTGCTTCAATCAGATCTTTCAATTAATCTTTTCAGAGAGCCATAGTTCAAGGATCCATGTAAGAACTCCAGATCTACAGTTGTTCTAGTTTCTCTGAAAAACATGTAAATGCTAGCACATAAAACAGGGAAGTCGGAAAATAAAGAGATGTGTTTACAAGTACATGTACTGAGGTATAAAGCCTAAAACTGAGTAAAAATATTATGTGCTGCTTTGAATTCAGGTAAAGGTGGGAGGATCTCAAATAGCATAATTCAAATTTCTCTCTCAACTCTGGCCCTGCAGATAGGGTCTAACTGAAAAAAAAATTTTTTTTTAATCAAGGGGATGATGGCTAGTTCCTGCTTATCCCTGAGTAGAACATTTTGACCCCCTGCCAGGCAACAGAATTGTTCAATAAGTCAATCCTATCCTCCTGTGGGAACCAAGGGGCACCTCACCCTTTTGATACTACCAAGCCCATGTCCCATTGTCCCTAGTTCAAGTACAAACCCTACATGGCTTTGTATAGTATAGTATAGTATCCAGCATCTTTCTACTCTGGGACAGTAAGTTTATGAGGTTTACTAGTAAGATGCTATCAATTTCATCTGACTAGTTTCTGTTGTCATGTGTATAGTCATTCACAGAAGCCTAGGGTGGAAATCCCTCCTTCACCAAGGGGATGAATAAAAAATGATTAAAACATTATAAGAAGATCTTTCATTAGGTAACCTTCCCACCACATACTACCAGAAAAATTTTCTCTTCGCAGGAGAAGACCAACGATTTGGGGTCTGCAGAACTAAAACTGAAAGGTTCCATCCAGACAAGGGGCACCATGGACAGAGACGCGAAGGTGACAGGCTCGAAGCAGAAGACTAACTAAACCAAAGGATGCACAAATATGTTCTCTTTTAGATTCTTCTCAACAGCCATCTTAGAACTTAGAAGCTCCATGACGAAAACCAAACATATCTGCTGGATGACTTAAGAACCACAGAAGCCAGTGATGGTCACACTATGCATGTAGGCTGCGCCTTTCTGGGCCTTCCTCAGGGGAGCAGGAGTTCCAGGCTTAGTGAGCATTCTACCTTCTTTGACATGTGGTGGGTCACACTCAAATCGATACACAGTCTTGGTCCTGAGTGTTTGGCCTCCAGAAGTTTCTCTTTGGTTAAGACTCGCAGAAAACGTTTGCTATGCTGGGTGCAGACGCCTACAGAAGAAACAAGATAGGAAATGGCAAAACACATCAATGATATTCTGTAAGAAACAAATCTCCCTTAGTTTTGCATATAAAGAAACTTGATAGCAGCCAAACAAGAAATCAAACAATAACAAATGTTGGCGGGGTTGTGGGGAGAAAGGAACCTTTCTCCATTGTTGGTGGGAGTGCAGACTGGTGCAACCACTATGGAAATCAATATGGAGATACCTCAAAGAGCTGGGACTACAGGTTCCATTTGACCCAGCCATCCCTCTGCTGGGTATCTTTCCAAAAGAATTAAAGGAATCAAGCCACAGTGATATATACGCACCCATGTTTATAGCGGCACAGTTTGTAATAGCTAAATCTTGGAAACAGCCCATTTGCCCATCAGTTGGAAACTGGATAAAGAAGATGTGGTTTTTCTATAAAATGGAATATTACTCAGCCATAAAGAACAATAAACTAGATTCATTCATAGGAATATGGATACATATTGAGGATATACTCAAGTGAAATAAATAAGTCACACAAGTGTAAATACTGAATAGTTTCCCTGGTGTGAAAAACTATAATAGTACATAAGATCCTAATGAGATAAATGACATTGTGAAATGGGAAGAAAGGGGCTAAAGGTGTAGGGAAGGTGGGATGGGTAGGGGAAAGGTAATAAGGGAAAAGAAAAAAATGTGAAAAAATGAAAAAATGGAAATAAAGTAAACAGGGAAGGGAGGAGGGGGTGAAGGGAGGGCAGGGACAAGGGGAAAAAATGAGAACCAAGACCTGTCATGTAGAGGCACAAGATCCCAACAATAAATGTAACTGTTACTGTATCCCTAAAATGTACCAATACACTCAATTAAAAAAAAAGTGTAACTAAACATTTGGGGATATCTGTATGTGTTTGGATTTGTTTCAACCACCATTGCTTAATAATAAATTTTGCTAAATATTAAAAAAAAAACTTGAGGCTCATATTCACTCACTAGGTTTATGTACTGAAAAGTGGTGAGAAGTATTGGAACCTAGGGCATAAATCTGGGTTTATTGAGTTATTTTTTGTGGTATTGGGGACTGAAGGCAGGACATTGTGCACGCGAGGCAAATATTCTACCACTGGGCCACATCCCCAGCCCTTTTAATTTTGAAAAAAGGTCTAAGTTCCTCTTGAGACTTTCCTGCCTCAGCCTCCCAAGAATCTGGGATTATAGGCATATGTCACCCCATCTAGCTATACCTCAGTTTAAATACTAGTTCAGTACATTCATTTGTTTATGTTTTTTTTTTTTTTTTTTTTTTGGTACTGGGGATTGAACTCGGGTCCTTGAGCTTGCAAGGCAGGCCACCAAACCGCTGAGCTAAATCCCCAGCCCCCAGTACATTCATTTGTTAACTGAATTACCTCACTTAAATTTCTCTGAGCCTCTGTCTCTTCTCCTGCAAGATAGGGATAACAAAGCACTGAATGAACACTGGGTTTATCATTCTACCTCTGAGTTTATAAACACTTATGTCCTCTAAACAACTTTTTTTTTTTAAGTTTTTTTGAGACAGGGTCTCACTATGTAGTTGAGACTGACCTGGAACTCACTATGTAGCCCAGGCTGGTCTCAAACTCACGGCCATCCTCCTGCCTCAGCCTCCTGAGTGCTGGGATTACAGGCATGTGCCACCACGCCTGGCTAAACAACTTATTTTTAAAGGCAGCCTTAAATTTTGCTCTTTGATTCCCAACACATTAGATTAGTTGTCTCACCTCCCAGATGTTTGCCTTTACCTAGAACAATGTCCCTATTCTCCTAGAAATATGAAGAAATTAGTTTGCCCCCACCAAATTAAAATGAATAGATAAAAGATTACATCAGCAATCTCATTCGTTACCTAGATTTTCTGAACGACAGGCTTTTCTTCTTTCTTTTTCTTGCTTTCTTCTGCTCTTCTTTGCTGCAACTGTCCTTTCCCAGTGTCTCTGTTTCCTTTGGACATTTTTCTTATGTTATCCAAAAAACAAAAATTGTTTGAGAACTTCATAAACACCATAAATGAAAAATAAACAATGCAAATAGTTACTTATTTTTTAATTTACACATTCAGTTGAGAGAGAAAGACAGAAAAAAGATTTTCATCTTAAAAACAAACCCACGAGTAAACAGAGCCCTGGAAAAGGTGTGATCTGTTCAAGGTCACAGTAAATGTACTGGGGTCAGAGGCTAAAGAATAGACTCCCTGATACTTCTTCTAGTTTGTTTTGTTTTTTTGAGATAGGTCCTTGCTATGTAGTTTAGGCTGGCTTTGAATGCCTGTAGCCCAAGTGGAACTCACAGTGAGCTCCTGCCTCAGCCACCCAAGTGCTGGGATTATAGGCGTGCGCCACCATACCCGGCTCCCCCAACTCTTTTGAGGTATATCAAAATTCCTTTTGAATTTTTCTTTTTCTGATTCAAATAAAACTGAAGCCTTAAACCAGTTAGCAGGAAATCGATTCACCACTTAGAATACAGAAAACTAACTGGTGGTGCCTTTTTATTACTCTTATCTTAGAACAGAGTCTCTGGATGGTTCCAGTACTGACAGCCTGCTGCACTCACCGAGCACCATGGTGCACTGCCTGTGGAAAGGGTCTCGCTCTCTGGGCACTCACACTCCATATCAATCTGCAGAAGCTGGAAGCTTGCAGAGAGCCCATCTTCATCTTCTACAACACCTTCCTGTCCCTGCAGCACTAGTGACTTTGTTTTCTGAGTGCTTCCTTCCAATTTCCAGTCCATGTGATTAGTCCTCTGTCCTTTCAACAAGATCAGAAAAAAAGGCACAAATATGTGATCTACTACATAGCTAATTCTCTATATCCTTAAAGCAGTTACTCTTTTGCTGATGGAGAAGTTATGAAATACTGAACTATATTTACTAAACTGAGATAACCATATTTTCTAGAGAAGTAATTCAGCATAGGAACAGTTTAGTAGTGAGGAGACCAAGCACACTTCCTAGAGGGCAAGTACAATTTCTAGCATCCCCAAGCAATCAACGCTATCTATCTCCTGTTGCACTGATACAGGTAGTGGACTTATTTGTATCTTTGGAAATGCACTCTATGATTATGCTTTAAACAGTTTATTTTCAATTTAACAAATATTTATTGAACATCTGTTATATACAAGAACCATATTAAAAGTATCCTAGGAGGATGAAAAGCCACCCCCAAAATATGGCTGAGTGGTACAAAATCAATGAAGAACTCTACTGTTGGGGATGTAGCTCAGCCGCAGAACCCCTGCCTAGTATGCTCAGGCTCTGGGTTCAATCTCCAGCACTGCCCCCACAAAAATCATTTTTCATTTATTTTTGGTACCAGAGATCGAACTTGGGACCTTAGACTTGCGAGGCAGGTGGTGGCCAAATCCCTGGCAAGAAATCATTATTTAAAACTATACATCACATCCTTACCTCCTTGAAGTATCACTCAACAGAAAGATAGTCACTGGTGAGATGTGTAATATCCCTCAGAAGTAACAAGTTTGAAAAATATGAAGCACTGTAACAGCACACTTAATGAATGTTTTAATTTCAGTGATGTCTGGACTTCTAGAAAAAGATTAAGTCAGAAAATGCTTGGGTCAAAGATCAAGAGTGGCATGGCCATTGCTTATGGCTGATCATCTGAGTTCTGTCACAATACCACCATTTTGGAAAAAAATAAGTATATTTAAAATGTATGATAAGGGTAAAAAATGAGAACCAAGACCTGTCATGTAAAGGTACAAGATCCCAGTAATGAATGTAACTGTACTGTATACCTAGAATATACCAATATACTCAATAAAAAGAAAAAATAAATTAAAAAAATAAAATGTATGATTCATGAATGTGGTAAAAAAAAAAAAAAGACCTACTTAATAATGAAAAGTGATGATCTTCATTCCTATTGCTCCACCTCTACTGGCATCCTATTAACCCATGGTTTGTAGTTCTGGTAACTGACTTCTGAGTCTGAAATCATGTGTTTACACCTTACTTCCTGATGCGTCAGTTCTAAAGAAACTGACTCCCCCCCAAAAAAATCAGACTTCAAATTACTTGTCAATCCCCTAATATTTTAAACTTTCATTATCTTTTTTTTTGTGTGTGTGTAGTCCTGGGGATTGAGTCCAGGGCCTCACACATGCCAGGCAAGCGCTCTACTACGACACTACACCCAGTCTTTTCCTTTTTTTTTTTAAATTAGCTATCTTGATCTTTCAATTTAATTTGAGATACGGCTTACATATAGTAAAATACAAATATTTTAAGGGTAACCCTAACCCTAACCCTGATCCATGTGTTTGTGTATGTAGGATACAAATATACCACCTCAATGAGTTCTGAGAAAGGAACAGGGCTTGTTAGCCATCAAGGTATGGAACATTTCCATTACTCTAGAAGGCTCCACTTCTGCCTACACTTTCCTAATCAAGCCCCATGACATTCCCATTGCATGCCAAAGGCAACCACGGTTCTTTTCTATAACCATTGATGAGCCTAGTACAAAGCTTCCTATCAGTCGATTCAAATGTGTGTACTCTAAAGAATCTGACTCCTCTCCTAACACGCTATTGAGTTTCACACATGTTGTTAAATGTTATCAGTTTATCCTTTTTATTGCTAAGTAGTATGACTATACCACAATTTTCCTGTTGGCAGACATTTGAGATAGACAAGTTTTCACATCTTTTAACCAAGTATTTGAGTAGAATTGCTGGGTCATAGCATAAGTATATATTTAACCTACTGAATTGTAGTAGTGCATCAAATATTCTGGACATGAATCCTTTTTCAGAATTCTCTCTCTCAGGCTTTATCTACTACCCCTTTTTTGCCTACTGATTATTCACACATCTCAGGCCAGAGATGGGTGTTGCGGACTTGGAGGGGGGAATAATAGCCCCACAAGTGTACCCCTCAGATAGCCTGAACTTAATACTAGCACATCTTCTTCCCTTTCCTGAAAAAGTAGTTAAAACCTCCCCTTTCCTGCACTTCATTAATGGCATGTTTTTCTAAAAAATGCTTTCACCATTTTTTTCTTTCTCCCTTGAATCCAATCATCACCTTCCATCTTGCTTTCATAATTCAAAGCTCTCTCCTCCCCCTCAAAGCTGCTGCTCCACTCAAGCCTCAGGAATGTCTCTCAGAACTACTGCCAGGGCCTCCTAAATTAGAGAACTTCATCTGGGTGCTTAGATGAGAAGAGACCCCTTCTCTTGAATGAGTTGCTGATTGAATGGCCTTAAGGTTTTCTTCTGAGCATGCCTTTCTTACATCCAACCTGGCCCTGAAAATATTGCATAATAAATGTATCTATATCTGTATCTGTATCTGTACTCTTTTCTCCCAGCCTATGAATTGCCTATTTATTTTCTTAACATTGTAAGTTTTAAATTTTGATTCAGTTATCAGTTTTTCTCTTACTGTTACTAACCTCTGCTAGGTCCTCTAAGAAATCTTGACCTACCCCAAAGATACAGATATATTCTCCTCTAGAAGCTTTAGATTTGTAATTTTATATTTTGATCTATATCTGTCATTTTTTATACACTGCATGATTTATAGGAAAGATGGTCTTTTCCAGCTGAATTGTTCTGTAACATGTACCTTTTACTGAATTTGTCTAATTCATCTAAGTTGTTTTACTGATTTGATTGATTGGAGACATGGTCTCACTATGTAGCTCAGGCTGGTCTCAAATTTGCAATGATCCTCCTGCCTCAGCCTCCCAAGTTCTGGGACTACAGACATAAGCCACCATGCTCGGCTAAGTTGTCAAATTTATTGATAGAGCTATTCACAAATAACATCCTTTTAATATCTGTAGGATCTAAAGTAATGTTTGACTTCACTCCTGACATTTATGCTTTCTGTCTTTTTTAAAATTTATTTTTCTTTTTTTTTGGTACTGTGGATCGAACTTGGGTCCTTGTGCTTTTGAGGCAGGTAGTGGAACCACTGAGCTAAATCCCCGGCCCTCCTTTAAATTTTTCACTCTTCTTGATTTGCCAAGTTCAGAGCTTATCAATTTTATTAATCTTTTCAAAGAATCAACTACCAGTGTTGGTTTCACTGATTTTATCTGTTTATTTTCTTTCACTCATTTCTGTTCTTTTCTTCTATTTTTCTTGGGTTTCCCTCCTGCCCTGGCTTCTTAAGGTAAAAGCTCAGACCGATGGTTTCAACTTTTCTTCTTTTTAAACATAAGCACCTGAACCTATCAATTTTCCTCTAAACACTATTTCAGCCACATATCACAAGTTCTGACATTTTTGTGTATTTAGTTATGAAACAAATTACCCTAAAACTCAGCAGTTTAGAGAACGTTAAACATTTATTCTCCCAGTTTCTGTCCATCAGGGCTCAGCTGGCTGGTTGTGGCAGAGGCTTGCTCATTGCACACATACCCCCCAGTACCTGACTGACCCAGAAGAATCTGCTTCCCAGATGACTCATGTGGGCTGGCAGGAGGCCTGTTCCCACCATGTGGGTCTCCCCATGGGGTTGCTTCAGTGTCCTGACATAATGGCTGGCTTTCCTCAAAGCGAGCAATCCAGGAGAAATCAAGGCAAAAGCTACAGTGGCCTCACCCTGGGGAGTCACATACTGTCATTTCTTCAGTGTCTTACTGTTATAAACGTCAGCCCTGTCCACTGTGGGAGGTAACTACACAAGGACATAAAAATAGGATGCTAGGATTACTAGAATGCTGGGCACTAGCCACATTTTTTCTCAGCATCTTTCATACAAAAATTTCAAATCTCCCTATATTTCTTCCACTCATTGTTATTTAGAAATATACAGTACTATTGTTTCTAAATAGAGATTTCCCAAATATCTGTAAAGGACTCCTAACATACTACATTACAGTCACAGAACATGTACTTCAGTCTTTTCAAATTCATTAATACTTGTTTTACAACTCAGCATATAGTCTATCTTAACGAATATTCCGCGTTGAGTTTAGGTCTACATCTTGTAATTTGTTCCATCTATTATTTGTTCTCTCTCTTTTTCCTGCCTTCCTGTTTTTAAGCGTTTCATTTTTTTTTTCCTCTACTGGCTTTTAAACCATATTTCTTTTAGTTATTTTATTGGTTACTCTAGGGATTATAATATGCACCCTTATCACAATGTCTTGTTTTTGTGTTTTTTGAGATAAGGTCTCACTATGTAGCTCAGGCTGGCCTCAAATTTACAGTTATCCTCTTGCCTCAGCCTCCCCAGTGCTAGGATCACAGGTGTGCACCACCATGCCTAGCTTGTCACAGTATACCTTGAATTACTTCATGTGTAAACTAAGAACCTCAGGTTAATATATTTCCATTCCCAGTCCTTTCTTTCATTTTGTCATATAGTTTACTTCTATTTGTTATAAATCCTGTAACATATTATTATTTTTGCTTTAAACAAATCATTTTTTAATAAAATATTTGTCTTTTAAAGAAACAAGAAGCTAGGTGCAGTGGCCCATCCCTGTAATTCCAGCAATGGGAAGGCTGAGGCAGGACTGCCATGAATTTGAAGCCAGCCTCGACTACATTGCGAGTTCAAGCCCAGCCTGAACTATATAGGAGACCATCTCGAAAAACCAAAACCACCCCGCTACAAAAACCCCCATCTATATATTCATACATTTTTCATTTCTAGCACTCTTATCTTTCATGCAGATCAGCATTTAAATCTGGTATGATTTTCCTTTAGACCCAAGAACTTCCTCTAGCATTTCTTGTAGTACAGGCCTGCTTATGATGAATTCCCTTAATTTCTATGCCTTTATTTTTGCTTTACTTTTGAAGGATATTTTAATAATTATTATGTAAAACGGCTTTTCTCTTTTATTTTATTATTATTATTTTTTTTGCGGGGGGGTACTGGGGATCAAACTCGGGTCCTTGTACTTTCAAGGCAGGCGGCAGAACCACTGAACCAAATCCTTGGCCCAGTTTTTCTCTTTTAATTCTTTAAAATATCATTGTCTTCCGACTAATATTGCTCCCACTAAGGAATTACCATTATGATCGATCACTTGTGTGTAATGTCTTTTTTTTCTGTACTCACTTTTCAATTTTTTTTTGTTGTTGTTGTTCATACTGGGGATTAAATCCAGGGCTTTTGCACTGACCTACATACCTCACCCTGTTACTATTTTTAATTTTGAGAAAAGATATCACTAAGTCACTAAGTTGCCCAGGCTAGGTTTGAACTCAGTTCCCCAGAGTGCTAGGATTACAGGTGTGTGCCAACATTCCTGGTTAGTATTAGATTTTCTTCTAGCAAGTAAAAAAAAAAAAAAAAAAAAAAAAAAAAAAGAGGTCAAATAAAAAAAAAAAAAAAAAAAAAAAAAAAAATCTACTGGTAGAACAGCTTGATTTTTAAGGCTTGATTTTAGGTTTTGGTAGTGATACAGGTGATAAGGGTGTGGCAAAGCTGGCCGGGGAAGTAGGAATGACCTGCTAATTACAAGATTTCAGAACAAAGGCTCAGAATAGTTGCTAGAGTCCTGTATGTGGACTTCTGAGAACTTGAAGGTTTTCAATAGGATGTCCTAGACCTGACATCAGCCTGCGCATGGGATCTCAGAGCCACATCTCAGGACCCCTATGCAGAAGTTCTTGCATGTTTCCTTGAGATGTGGACAGTATAAAAGGACACACGCAGATGCTAAGAACTTGCTATCCTCATGACAGCCCACCCTGCTTTTTCTAGGGTGTTTTTATCATGCTTTTTCCTCTTTTACTCGGCCTAAGATACTCTGCAGACCCAATTCCTCTCTCATGCTTCACTTTTACTTTTTCAAATAGATTTTGATACTGACTTTTGCTCTTTTCATTTAATTCTTTTTCAAGACAAGAAGAACCTGCACTCTAACTTCAGGAGAGGTGAGCAACGCAGAACTTTTAATTGGTGAGTCACTTTTAGAAGGAGCTACCAGATAACATTTTGGCATAGCCAGGAGGTTTCCATAACACTAGTGAAGGCCTTAGCTTTTACTCTAGGGCTAGTAGCCCTATTCCTAAAGTACAGTATAGCTTTTCTGGTTTCTCAAGGGAATGCTTAGAATTGTCAGTGAAGTCTCTCTGGATGGTTAGATCTCCAACATCTCTATAATTAACATTTAGCTCAAAACTGTTATTAGTCAGGTCTCCCAGAATTTTGTCCTGTACATGCACAGCTTGACATTCAGCCAAAGATCAAGGGGACCCTGTATAGATTTCTGGAGCTCTTTCACTACTAGTTCCTTTCTTGTATCTTGCTCCACAAATTCAGCAGCTCTGAATTAAAATCTCTGTGCCCTCACTACAGTGACACTGCTGCACTCTGGGTCCCATGTCACTGTGTAGTGATTGGAAAGTGCTCTGAGAAGGGACACAGAGTGAACAGGGAGCTCAGGCTGTGCTTCTCTTCTCTTAAGGATTACAGTCCTGTCCTATGTTTCAATACCTGAAAACAAACTCCTTATATTTTGTTGTTTTATGCTTTATTATAGGAAAGTCAGTCTAATCTTCCCTTTGTTATAATTACCAAAATTACTTTAAAGAATATTTTAAAGTTTCTATTTCTTGTTTGACAACCATACACACACACACGTATTTATATTTTAGGCTGACCTTGAACTCACTTCATAGCCAGCTCAGGCTAGTGTCAAACTTGCAACAATTCTCCTGCCTCACCCTCCCAAGTGCTGGGATTATAGACATGTACCACCATGCTTAGTTGTAGTTATATATTTTTGACTCCTCAGTGTTAGACCCTTGTCAGCCAGGGTGATCACAGATGCCTATAGTTTCAGCTTCTCGGGAGACTGAGAAAGGAGGATCAAGTGAGCTCAGGGGGTTTGAGACCAGCCTGGGTATCACAGCAAGACCCTGTATCAAAACAAAACAAAAAACACCTTTATATTTCCCTCTCTCTCTTTCCTTCTAATTTTCTAACTCTGGTAAGCTGAACCTGTAGTTTAACAAGGTCAAATAGGTTTTACATGTTCTGCCATCATAATTAAGTTCTTTGTGCTCTGTCTATCCCTTTGGTTGTTTCCAAAATTTATAATGATATACTACATTTATATTATTATAATTCCATAAATGTCACTCATTGCAGACATAGCTAGTGTCCTAGAGTTATATGTTCTTTTACAGTGTTTTGATCTATGAGCTTCTAAATAATTTCTAGTGTTAAGTTCACATTGCCTTTTTTCTCATACTCCATCAACTGCTCAAAATTGGCCAATTTCAGTTGCATACACTGCATAGGCAGTTTTGAGGAAAAATTGCCATCTGTGGCAGTTAGGGCAGAGCACCAACTTGATTGGGGCTTTGGGATCCACCTGGGGGATTGGAGGACACATTTCTGGGCATGTCTGGGTGAGTCATGGAGGCACACATCTGCCACACATCACACAAATATGGTAAATTTTGGAACATGGTCAAGTAAACTACCTTCTAGATTTTCAAAATTACAGGCTTGAGATTTATATGCACTGCCTGCTTAAGCTAAAGTTTACGTCTACCTAGATATTCTCTCTCTCTCTCTCTCTCTCTCTCTTGCATTGCAGGATTCTCACCCAGGGCCTCACTCATGCTAGGCAACTGTTTTAACACAGAGGTATAATCCCAGCCCTACAAATTAGTATTTAAATGTGTTATTTATATACTGACTATATCTAAAGACATAATGGCATACACAAAATATTGTACAAAATACTTCCAAATGAGAATAAGGCATTCCTAAACATTTCAGAGGTACTGCACTATTCGTGTATGAACAAGTATTGATAACATATACACTGTTTTTTGGTACTGGGGATCGAACTTGGGACCTTGCACTTGTGAGGAAGGTGGCAGGACCACTGAGCTAAATCCCCGGTCTGCAAATACCATTTTTAACAAAAGATATCCAGACCTTTGCTATAATACTTCCTTTAGATGATAAAACAAACTGCTATTCTAACCATTAGAGTGATCTGCATGATTTTTCCATGTTTAAGCTTTCAAAAAAACTTAACAGTAAATTGGTTCAATAACTCATAACTGTATTTTATCACAATGAGAAAACAATTTGTTAAAAGAATACTATGGTGGGCCGAGGATTTAGCTCAGTGGTGCCACCACCTGCCTCACAAGCACAAGGTCCTGAGTTCAATCCCCAGTTAAAAAAAAAAAAAAAAGCTATGGTTGGGGGTATAACTCAGCTCAGAGGAGTGCTCACCTAGAATTCTTAATGCCCTAAATTTGATCCCCAACACTGCAAAAATAAGTAAATCAGGAATGCTAATTTTTAACAGCCTTGTGATCTCTTACTCCTCTGAACTTCATTACATTTTGAATTCTTACCTGTGTTTGGCCAATCATTTAGTCCAATATTCATTGACACTCTTTGTTGGGGAATGACTAGGAGGCAATGGACATATATGTCTGGTTAGGAAAAAAACAAGGGCCAGAAATAGGAGTAGTTGGAGGGACTGTTGCCTTTTCCATGGCTGTCCCTTAAAAAGTTGGAATGCCTATGCTATTCTCTTTCACCAAACAATTCCTTTGTTGACCCTCACAAACAGTAGTGTTTGGTGTTTGTTAAAGTGAACTAAGTATTACCTTCATTCCCATTCCCTTTCTTTTTCCTTCTACGTACCCCATACTTTCCTAAATTCCTATAGTCCCTAAGGTTATTTTTCAGAGCAGGAACTTGGGACTCAGTAATCATGATAATCAAATTTTTAAAAACCCCACCCCCACCTCTTCAAAGGGCCTGCAATATTGCAGACTCTTCAGGAGTGATCACTCCTGTAGGCAGAGACTGCCTCTTTTTCATCTTTGCATCTTTGGTGATGAGCTTAATGCCTGGCACAGAATGAAAGCTCAGTAAATGCTGAATAGAAGGCAGCCACCTAGGGATCCCTAGAAAGCAAAAGGAATCATGAAGCACACAGATTTGAGTATGTGTGAGGCCTCCCTCATGCCCAGATTCAGTATCTCGTTTCATTCAAAATACATTTTCTGAGCCTTAATCATTCAGCGATGTCAACAAGCACGTAACACAACGATGCTTCGTGCTTGGGGGTGACACTCATTCTGCCTTCACAGGATCCAATTACCAGACTTAGCCTTACATGACAGCTGGTCTGCTTGTTTTCCTGTTTGAAAATAAATACTTCCAGGGAAGAGATACTAAGAATTCATAGGCACAGCTTCACAGAAAAAAAAAAAAAAAAAAAAAAAAAAAAAAAGAAAAGCATCCTAAATATTTGATAATCACATTACTGCTTAGAACCCTGCAGTAGTCTCCATTTCAGTTACAGTAAGCCCAAATCTACCAAATGCCCATACAGATAATTACTGCCTACCTCTTCCATACTTTTCTACTACACTCTGGTCTACTTGGTGTGTGTGACTCAAACATACCAGAGATATTCCTATCCCTGGGCCTTAGCACTTGCTGCTCTCGCAACTTGGAATGCTCTAACTTGGCAAAGAGTTTTCAGTAGCATGTCCTGTTTTACTCTCTCATCTCTACAGACGCTCAATAAATACTTGCTGATTTAATGGACTCCTCCATCCCCACGGGGTCAGGAGGAAAGGGTTCAGACCTTTTCTAACCCAAGACCAGCATAATGAGCATATACGCCACCGGAGCAGCCTTTGGTTGCATAATTCCCTCACTCTAAGCTGTGGTCCACGAAAGTTGTCTCCACTCCTCCAGCACTTTCAGGCCTAAGGCACCTAGACCCAGGCTGGCACAGAAGCTGCGGGGCCCGCAAGCTTCGAGCCGGAGAGGCAGGAAGGGGAAGCAGCAAGAAGCTGGGCCACACGACCATACCACTGCCTCCCCGGAGTCCATCCCACCCGCGAGCGCGCCTGCTGTCCCCAGGCCCAATTCCGCAGTCCCCAGCTGGCCCTCGAAACGAACCTCCGCATACTTGAACCTCTCTCAGTCAAGCCTCAGTAGCGGCGGTGCACACCGGTCCCGCTTCAAATCTCACTTCCGGTTTCTGACTCCGCGCAGATAGCATCCTGGGAATTGTAGTTTTTAATCTGGCCGAGTGCCTGGAAGGGAGTAACTAGGGCTGATTCTTCTGCTGTTTTCCAGCGTCCTGCCCAGAGGTTTGCCTTGCTTCCCCGAGCCGCAGTTTCCCCGTCTGTTAGTTGACGGTTCCAATCTGCCTCTCCTACTGACCTGACAGGAATCCCGTAGGTGACCAAGCTGTTTGTTTTCTGCCCCAGGCAGGAGGCCTCAAAAGTAGGGTGAATCCATGTCTTGAACTACTTACTATCTCTGACCTGGGAACTTTGCCTTCCCCCTACTTTCCTAAAAACCCATAGGGTCCACAACCCTTTCCTGAGAACACACCCCTTTCTGCTACTAGGCTATGTTGAGGTTTTGGCAGCCAAGCTGTGCAATCTCTGGTCTCTCTTCCTCCATCTCCCTTCACATATCATCAACAGAGAAACCAAGGTTCAGAGATGTGAAGTGGTTAGCCCAAGCCTTGTCTGGATAAGGACTATCAGGACTTCATTCCTGGAATCCTAGGGGTCCCACCCTTTCCGAGAGACCTTTCCACCAGTGAGCCTGAAACAATGGAGTTGTTGGATCCCTCTCTGGCCCAGAGAGGGCTTTACTCTGCACAATGCCTCCCAATCCATCCCTCAATTCGATTTATAAATCCTACCACAAAAATTTATCTTCTAAAACCCAGCTCTCTCAGCTCTTCTGTGCTTGAAAGCTGCCCCTGGCTACCCACTAAATGACCTCCCATGACCCACACGACTCACACCAACTTACCAGTTCCTGAACCTCACACCCAGCAGAACTAAATACCCGCACCTTCACACTTGTATCCCTTCACCACCGAGTGAGTTTGTGGCTGCTCTCCAGTGGAAAGAAAAAGCCTCTGACTGGGCCTTGCTTTTTGTTTGCCAGATAATTATGTGTCCCCGCCACCACCACCCCAGAGCTGTCAGTGGCTTTCTGGTGTGCTTGGATATAAATCTGACTCCATCTCAAGGCCTTGTACCTCCTGTCTCTCTCCCTGCAGCTTGCCATATGCTTGCACTGGCTTTGAACTGCTTCAAACACACCAAGGGCCTTTTACAGACTGTCTCATTTCCTCTGTTTTCCATGGCTGGCTCTGATCCTTTAGGCCTCAGTTCAAATATTCCCTCTTCTGAAACGACTTTCCTGGCTACCCTAAGTAAGACTGGCTCATCCCATCCTTGTCTCGGCACTTGTGTTTTTCAAAATCACCTCCTTCAGTAATGCATTTTTCCATCTTTCCTACTAAGTTCCTAGAGGAGACTGTGTCTGCCATGTGTTTAACTGTATTTCCAATGCCATCGCAGAGTAAATATTTGTTGACAGAATAATTATTTTACTTTCTTGACACATTCAAATCCTACTAAATCTAAGGCTTGACACATGATATTCCATAAATATTTCCTGACATACTAGTTCTAATTAATGCCAACTACAGGAAGCCACTTTTGATTACTCTTTTGCTTCTCACCCCTCAAATGGCTTCTCTCTTAAAGGTCTCAGAGCACCTTTCTTATTGGTGAAGAGTGTGCCCCTAGCACACTGAATCTTGTGTTGTTATTCTATCTCTATATGTCATCTAACCTGTACTGGGAATTCTTGAAACCTGGATTTCTACTCAATTATTTACACTCATAATCCTGCATCAGGCTTCACCTGGCATAGCTGTACCATGAACATTTGTTGAAAAAGTTAAATCAGCCTATGCAATGGTGAGTGGAAAAGGGAAAGAATGGAAGTATTCAGTAGTTTCTTAATTATTCAAACTGACTCTTGCATTGTGGGGTAGGCAGCCTCATTTAGCCTATCAGTGTAAGTGGGTTGTGTGTCTCAAAGGAAGTGCCACAAGGGGTGACTTGCCCTGTACTTCTCATCAAATGAGGGATTCGCACCACTTCTGAGACTCAGTCTTCCACAAGGGAACTGCAGAGGAAAAGACAAGCTCCATACAGTAGCAACCCAAGACTTGAAGGAGAGGGAAAGAAATAAACATTTGAGTGCCTGATCTGGTGGCTTCAGCCTTTTTTGTGCCTTCCACGACTATTTGTCACAAAAATTCTGAATATACATTTTATAACAATCTCTAGGATGAGTCATGTTAAAACATGTATTCAGGCCACCTAAAGAAAGCATTTGGCACATTGCAAGCCCTAATTAAATGGATATTTCCCTTTGACAGAGCAACTGAGGTCCAGAGAAGTGTCTATAACATAGGCCACAACCAGGATTCCAACCCTGATTGAGTGAAGTCCTAGTCTCCTTCTCTAAACTTCTGAATACACAGATTGTGTTCACATAAAGAAATTAGTTCTTTTAGAGCTTTCTCCTGGCAAAAATTTCAAGTCCTGCTTAACATCAATTAAAAAATTTTTGGTGTCCTACTAGCCCTATTTCTTGCCATGAAATCACTTCAGTTGTGTGTTCAAAGTCTCACTTAAATTTTATTCAAAGTATTTTTTGGAAAGAAGCAGTTCTCTAAGACCCTAAATCTTTTCCTGACACAAGTATTGACTGACCAACTTGTTCCTAATTAACAAGTAACTGGTAACATGAAGTATATCTTTTTCCCTCTTTCTGACTGGAGAGAGCATAGGTAAGTGACTTAACACTTTCATCCCTGATCCTATTTTTGTTAAGGGAAGAGGAGGGGTTAAGAAGCTCTTCTAGAGAAGAGGTAGCACTGAGTTTATAACTAGTCAGAAGTACCAGAGAGACAAAGGGACTCCCTCAGTGACCTCTAGTAATCCAAGGTTAATCACTAAAGCACCTTTTTGTCTAGGCAAAGAAGCCACGGCAAAAGGCATTCCAAGAGTCTTGACATGAGTTTCCCTGTTGTCTGAGAAGAAAATGTAGGGAACAGTTTCAGACCAGGAAAAAGTTGAGAGCTATTACTACCATTTATTGAGAGTTTACTAGGTTAGTATTTCCTGGGTTTATGTTCTGTCAAGTGAGCAATGTTAGTATCCCTGTGTACCAAAGAGGAAACCAAAACTCTGAGAAGTTATAGCTTGTCCCATCATCCACAATGGTTCACTGGGATTAACTAGTTCAGCTGAGATTGAAAAGCTATGAATATATTTCTTTTGCTTTAATAGTCTTTAAAAGGTACATGTAATTCATGGCTTTACTGTTTGCCTTTTACATATTTAAAACAGAAATAGGGTTCAAGCTATCCATCCAATAAAGCATAGTGGCCTTGCAACTAAAGAACTTACTGCCACCTAGTGGCAACCTATGCTTGCTGCAGCAAGGCAGCCAAGAACGGGACTCCTGATGCTGGGGGCTGCAATTCAAAACGGGGGAGGGAAATCCATAAAACAGCACATGTATTTAGCCCTGTATGCAAAGGTTACTGGTGTGCTATGAGACATCAAGATTGTTTTTAAGTGACCTCCACTTCCTCCCTCACTGACTTCTTGGAACAAAATCTGTGGCTTCCTCTTGCATCTATACCCCTGGGTATGCTCCTTTTATGGTGCACACTTCACTGATGGTCAAGTACTAAACTGTACCCAAAGGGCCTGGGAGCATCTGAATCAAGGATTCATGTTATTTTTCTGCAAGCTCTGAGCTCCTAGTACAGGCCTGGTACAAAGGAAGTATCCAGTAAACGTTTGTTAAGTGAGTCTGAGTGAATGCTTTTCACTCAAACTTATCATTCTGTATGAGTCAGGCCAAGACTAAGTAGCAGTTTATTTGAATGCTCTATATAGTAAACATCTGATGGGGGTGATTGGGGACTGGACGGGGCTTCTTAGGGAAGTGTTCAGGGAAGGGGGCCCTGTTTACAGGGCAGTGGATGCCCGGAACTTTTGTGTCAAACAGAATACAGCAGCTGTGAGGGCTGTGCACTGACGGGCCAAGAGTTTCACACTCAGGTCGTGGTAGCCTCTCTCGCAGGTCAATTTTGCGGCCTCTACAAACTGGTGATAGGTATATACCACATCCCTCAGGTTCCCAGCTGCTTCCCTGTACCGGGCAGAGCAGCGGCTGCAGTCCGTGAACTGGAAGCACAGGCCAGCCAGCTGGACCAGGTGCTGGAAGGTGTCACGCACAGCACCCTGCATCTCCTCGGGGGACTGGTCCATTCTAATCACATGCTGGCAGCTTGACAGGAGCTTCTGTGAGCCCATGCAGAGCCGGCTCCTGCTTTCCAAAAAGTGCCAGGTGCACTTCTCTGGGGGATGTTTGTGCCCACCCCCCCAGGAAGCTTCTAGAATGTCTTGGAGCTCCAGCAAACTCTCCAGGAGATGGATGAAGCCCTGAGGGGTGCCAGCGGGGGTGGCTTTCAGCTGTCTCAGTGCTCTGGAGCAGTACTCTGGCCAGACGTGGCTTTTCCTTGACAGGGATGCCGTGCTGCAGCTGTGGGCCCGGGCAGGCATCCAGGGTAGAACGAGCCGGCTTCCTGCAGAGGGTGGTGAGGTAAGGGGGGCAGGCGGGTATGCTTTGGGGTCCTTGTCTTCTTCCTCTCTCTCAGGCTGCAGGCCACGGAAGCACGTGGCATAGGAGAATTGGCAGCTGCACTGCTCCATCCCAATCCCGGGGGCCACCATTTCATTCAACCCTGCAAAACCCAAAGACGCGGCCCTCCTGAGATGGGCAGAAACTTCAGGGTGGCTTTCTGGGGCAAAGCACAGGAAAGACTTTTCAGTAGAGAGGCAAATGCTGGAGCTGTCCTCTTTGCTTTCTGACAGTGAGCAATGGTTTGAAGCTTCCATGCCTGGCTCCTTTTGACACCGTGGTGGCTTTGGCAGGGAAGCATTAAAATAGACCTGCGGAGGAATGTCCGTAGAGGTTGTATCTTCCCCTACGACATGGTTATGTGGCTCTGCCTTGACCACCCCTAGAGGGAAGTCAGATGGAACGGTCTGCTCCCCAAGCAAGAAATTGGAGTCTAGATCCAACTCTGCCAATAGTTTTTGTTCTTGGGTCTTGCAGGCTTGGACTAGG